TATTGTGAATTCATTAAAGGTGTAGTCTACGTGGATCGAATGGATCGAAAAGATTAGCAAACACAGAAAGTAAACGGCAATGAGATCGTCACATCATGAACATGATGAAGCATTTCCTCATTAGGGAAAAATGCGCATGATTGATTTTCCTTGAAACCGGTTGAGTTTGTTTTTGACATGCCTTTATTTGAACACGAATCATTTCCAAACCCTTATGAAAATCAAACCCACTTACCAGGGATAAAGTTCAGATTCCAAGCTTTAAAATTTTATTAAAAAAAATAATGACGGTGCGTATTTCGGCGGCGACGCTAGAGCCTCGCAAAAATGTTGCGGGTATATTGGGACACGCTGTGTATCCATAACGTCGGCAGATATGTTTTTTTCTGGAGGTGGGCGAAGCACTTACCGGCTGTGGAAAAAAGAAACAAACAGCGAGAGTGGGGTACAGTGGGGTACACTGTCAGCAGAAGAAAGAGGAAGGAGGGAGGAATAAGAGATAAGAGATAAGAGCCACCTGTTTTGTTTTCGAGTTTGGTATACGGTCGAACATTTCTCAATTTCTTTCCAGTCGAAACTCCCACAATGAACTATTTCTAACCAGGTAGTCTGTTGGCAGTTCAAGACAATAACCTGCATGAAAATCGGTTTAGTCTGGCGACTGACCTTGTCCCTTGCATTTGTGTTAGTCTTAGGCTAAATATTGTCTGTTTGACTGCCTTGACGACAGTCCTGAAGTGACCAGACTTTAGATTTAATGTATATAAAAACAACAATTTGATTTTGTTCAACGTCTTGGATATGACGTTTATCAAATGGTATGTATCTGCAGTGCTATCAAGCTTGAATGATAACCTGCATGAAAATCGGTTTAGTCTGGCAACGACCTTGTCCCTTGCATTTGTTAGTCTTAAATCCTGTCTGTTTGACTGCATTGGCTACAGTCCTGAATCAGACCTTATATGTAATACAACAAAAAAAACAATTTCAGTTTATGTGACGTCTTGGTTATCCAATGCTATGTATCTGCTAATCAAGCTTGCATTAATTTCAAGGTTATTCTGATATTTAACTTAATGTTTAATTCCGAATGCCGTAATACGCTTTATTAACGAACAGGATGTGTTTTAAGCTGTGTGTTGATATCTGTAATGTACATGTACATGTACCTGTCCTCGGAAATTTGAAGCATAGATGTTTACCACAGTCGTTCAAGGGCCTAATCAAATTTGTTTGCGCCGCACTTGTATCAAATCGATTTGACTTTGTTCGAGCGCCCGAAGTGGCGTCACGGCAACAGCGCCTAAAGGTATCCAAATATTGGATTTTCATTACAAAAAGGTGGGAAAAGAGCACTTAGAACTTTGGAGATCAAAAAAAAAGTTGCATCATTTTCGTGCAGTTTGGAGGTTTGAATAACATAATAACATGTGTGTATACAAAACGTTTTTTCGGGTGTGATAAAAAAAGCGCACATGCATACATCCAGATCTTTGCCCCTTTTTAAAAAGAACTAAGGGGTTGAACAGTAGGGTTGCTCCCCTCTTTTAATTCAATTCAATTCAATTCAAGAAGACATTTATTCCACATTCCTTTAGAGAATACATCCATAAATAAAAGAAAGACTGGTAAATAGCAAAATAAAATAAATCAATAAATTTGTCTCAAAAATAATAAAAGTAAAATGCGCTTTGAAGAAATGCTCTTCGAAGGCATTGATGGGAATATTTTGCTCAACTCAAGTTGCCGGAAGGCGGTGCATTGTCACGCGTTCAGTAAGGGAGACAATTCTTGATTTAATCAAAAACGAAACTAGAAAAAGAAATATGGAAAAACAAATCCGGTAAGGTCCGATTTCAAATCTGAAAAATATACGGAAATTTGATAGATGATTGGTGTGTATTTTTGTTGGGGAGGAAGTGGATGGAAGGGTGGCTTTTATCCAATCCATTTATGCGGAGATTCTTCCGAACGCCTAAAAGCATTTGTTCCATTGGGAACGAAAAAAAAAAACCTGAGGCAAATCTTCAACATAGCCTATCACTAGCAAAGTCCCGGCTGAGTTAAAATTTAACTGAACTGTGGTTAACATTGTTTACCGCCAGCAAACGCTGACTGCAGCTTAAGTAACCAAAAAAATGATTTCCTTTAAAAAATCAAGCAAGCAAACAAAACTGTTTACCGCTGGGTGAAAAGTGAGTGAATTTGAAGCGTTGTAATTCTACTCAATGTCGACTTCACCAAACTCATAGTAACATAAGATCGATGGTAAGGCATGATGAAAAATCGTTGCCACAAAGACGTTTCCGAAGTACCAGTGTTTCACGGATCATATAGTAAATGTACCTTTTGGGCACTGTACGATGATTGTGTCATGCCTTTGTGAATACAACATCGCCCGGTGCATATAGAGTCCAAGGATACTCTTAAGAAAAGCTTCGAATTCACTCAAAATTTTGCAGACGTCATACCGTGTTTGACTGAAGACGATCTCGATTGAGATCATTTTATTTCAAAATAGCCACTTAATTTCTAAAATCTAAGGGGGCCAAGTGTCGATTTGACGAAGCGCTGCGATCCGTCGTAGCGTAACTCATCCTTACTGACGACAGCTGGATGGTTGCTACAAATGTATTTCAAGAAACTGGATCCCCTGGGTCGATGAATACATCGTAACATTTCATGGCAACACATCGCAAATTGCACTGAGTCTAAATGGTTTATCGTAACACTTGAAACGCATTTCCATATCATGGAAAAAGCAACTAAAAAGTCAAATCATAGACTACATGACATAAAAGTGACCAATGTACTCAGGGGCGGCGGAACGCTTTTCAAATTGGGGGCAACACCAAAAATAGGCACTTGCTCAGAAAAGGGGGCACCTTGCATCGGTGTGAAAGTGGATGAAAAGATATGGTCCCGTTCATTTCGCTATAAACCTATATGACGAGAAACAAATTATGAATACGTTGCCCATCTTGCTCTTTTATTTTCTTTCGGAGAGACCAGTTTTTTATTTATTGCGAGAGGGGCACTGTTGCTTTTGATGGCCAGTTCAGTGACCATTTTATTTGCGTGAAGAGCATATATTATTTTTAGGGGCCAGTTTTCCATCTTGAGAGGGGGCTCAATTTTAATGTTGCGAGCGGAGCACTTATTATTGTGCTTTCGAGGGGCAGCTTTCCATCTCAAGAAGTTATCGCGAGAGGAGCACTATTGTTTTTGATGGCCAATTTTTCTACTCAAGAGGGGCACAATTTTATTATTGCGAGAGGGGTATTTGTGCTTTTGAAGGGTATTTTTCCATCTCGAGAAGGTGCACAATCTTAAGAGGGGTACGTGTGTTTTGAAGGGCAGTTTTGCATTAAAAGAGAGGAGACAATTTTATTTGTAGCGCAATCATATGCTTTCATAGTCGTGTGCGTTTGAGGGGTAGTTTTGATTTTTTTTTTTGTCTCAGAGGGGCACATTTATAACCTCGAGAGGGGCACTTTTGTTGGCCTGGGAAAATCTAGGGGGCAAGTGCCCCCCCCCCCCCCGCCCCCGGTTCCGCCGCCCGTGAATGTACTCGACCGCGAATGTTCCTTTCAGTCGCCAAAGCATCTCGTATAAGTTACGATGTTATATCCATCGTAACATAGTTTCTATCATGACGCAAGTAACAATGGATCGCTCATTGAAATCTACTCCAGTGCACTTATCCTTTCCAAGCAGGGCATGGCTGGAGGTATCATTGCCTACCCCCCCCCCCCCCCCCCGCAACGTCGTGTTTCTTTACCTGATTATTTGACCTATGTAGGGTGTATTAAAAAGAAGAAAAGGTAATACGAAAATAATTGGTTCGTATGTGAAAATTATAAACTTGATCATTGTTAAAAGTGATTTCATTTTTACGGATGAATCATTAGCTTTCCATTGATACCTTATTTGCATCTCTCTAGTCACGGATGACCGAGCAGTGTTTGCAAAAAAAAAGGGGGGGGGGAAAACCTGGTAATCCAAGTTTGCTGAATAAGTGGCGAGTGAATTAGCTGTAGACAGTGCGATGAAACGGGAGGTATGTTGCAGATGTTGGTCATACAATGGTAGGCCTACATCATAATGTTGTTCAATGACTTCTCGTGATCTTTCTAAAGATTTGCTTACCATCGCAAGTATATACAGGGTGAGTAAAAAAGACTGCAATAATGCAAAGGAACCATCTTTTTTTTCAAAGCCCTGTTGAATTTTTGAATTTTTCAACTTTGAAAGAATGACATATTCGTTTAGTAACCTTGTGTGAAAAAAAAAAGATAATGCAATTAACTTCATTTTGTCACATAAGGTTTCTAACGAATATGCCATTCTTACAAAATTAAAAAAATATCAAAAATTCAACTTGGTTTTGAAAAGAAGATGGATTTTTTGCATTATTAAAGTTGTTTTTACTTACGCTGTAGCTATGACAAGACATAGCATCCCATGTCAAAATTCTTGCAAACGTAGCTCCCAATGGGCATAAGCGAATCCTTGTGCAGTTGGACTGATGCCCAAGCTATGTCTTGAGTACATTTTGCCATCGGATAGATGATTATTAAAATGAATAAAGACAAAATCTTTGACAATGATTTATTTGATCATAAAATATGATATTCCAGATATGCTCATTCACCTTCAACATGCTGTATCTCCGCATTCAACACATTATTCATTGCGACGGCGCGGGTTTTTTGGGGTTTTTTTGTTTTTTTTACACATTTCAGCACTGAATCGGGCAAACTTGGAGGGAAAAATGGTTTGGGCCTTTTTTATTTTTAAATCAATGGTGCTCAGTCATCCGTGACTGAAGAGATGCAAATAACATATCAATGGAAAACTATGCTTTTCCAGCACTTTGACAGTGTTCAAGTTCATAACTTTTACGTACTAATCCATTTTTTGGATTACCTTGTTTAATACACCTCTATGTTTTAAAGTGTATCCTCAATCACTTTTCTACTCATCTTGAAAAAGCGTTTTCACTGAATGCATGAGTAAAACAAGAACGGTACCTGCATTGGTGAACTGATAGCGGACATGGCAGTGAAGTTGACCACATCTGAAAAGAACACCGTCACTTCGTCGTAGGTCTCGGCGGGCGCTTGTCCCGTCAGCTTGAGTTGCTCAGCTACCACCTTGGGTAGCATCTGATACAGTAGCGAGTCCGACTTCATCTTCTCTTCCCGGAGCTCCAGCGTCTTGCGATGTAGGGAGTCACCCACCCGTTGGATTTGCTGGGTCTGGCGGATGATGCCTCTCATGATCAGCGGGCCCGTGATGAGAACCGTGGAGAGCAGAAAGGCGCAGGCCACCACGTTGTAGATGCCCCCTAGCAAGTCTGCCTCCAGTTCATTGATGATAACATCGGCCAAGTGGGTCTGCAGTGTCAGTAAATCGTTGATGTAGGAGGTCATGTTGTCGAACCACATGTCACCCTTGATCAGTGAGGGTGACAGCATTTCATGATCGTTGAGGTATACTTCATCTCGCATTTTGTTGACTGCAGCAGCCAGAGTGTCTTTGACCGTACCTGTATAGACGTCGCGAAGTGAGGACCAATACTGAAAGGACGTCTCTAACAATCCCCTTCCCATGTAACTTACGTTCATGAACCAAAGGTAGTCTTCGCTCAGGCTGTACCCTCCTCGAGAGAAGAAAGTCGCTCCGATGGCTCGTTCTTTGCCCGTTTGCTCCTTGGCCATAAGAAGCAGCTGATAGGAGATCAATTGAGACCAGAGCTTACCTGCTGACTGCTTGATTCCTTGCAGGTGCCCATTGATGATTGTCTCTATCTCGCCCGAGTAGAAGTTCATGACGTCTGCTATGGCCGCATTTCGAGAGACAACAGTCTCTCGAAAGGCGTTCAGATTAACCCTGTAGGCGGCCTTACTTTTGAAATGACCAGGCATAGAGTAGGAATCGTTGTCATAAACCCAGGAGATGTTCTCGATGGTGCGATCGGTTTCGTTAAATATACCACGCAGCTTGTTCAACAGCTCCTCTCCGCCCAAGTAGATGAATAGGGAAGAGATGCCTCTTTCGATCTGCAGACGATGAGCGACCTGCCCGACATCCTGCACACTACCGCCGACCTTAGCCCGCACCCATTGGAGCTGGGTGTTAGTGGCGCTGGAGTTGACCATGAGGATGGTGGAAAGGATGGCCAGGATGGTGATTGGGACGAGTGCGATAACCACCATGGTCCACAACTGCTTACGCTGCTGTGCGCTTACCGTGTCGGCTCGCAAAGTGCGGCACAGCTTCCCCAGAGGGTTCCTGCCGTCCACTTTTTCATCCGTCAATTCCGGGTGAGAGGACGGAGACGGTCCTTCGGGCTCGGGATGCACTTGCACACGCTTCATCATTGTTGTGGTTATCTGAGGCGATTGTTCTTGCCCTTAACACTACGTCCAAATGAGATACGAATCCGAGGAACGTGTTGTGCGAAAGACAGACGACAACGGTAAATGGAAAGGTCGAGTTTAAACCTCAGTGGATCGAAAATCGAGACGAACGTCAGACTGGTGACGACAAATCTGTAGAGCACGCGCTTGACCAATCGCAGCGCAAGGCACGGCCTTTTCTCTGTCCAGGTGAAAACGCAAAGTGTACTCGCCGTATACGGTGTATCAGCTGCTCGTTGTGAATGATTAGGCACGGTAATCTAATACAGTTGGGTTCAGGATGTAAGCACCGTTGTGCGAGGCCGGTTGAAACTGCTTTGTGTAAACCTGCATGTAGTCACGTTAATAGTTATATGATACACAAAATATTTTTTAATTTTCAAAAGAACGGTACTGACCATTCATCACATAAACATCGTGAGGAAACAGAAACTCGCTAACTTGAGTTTAAAAGTTGACTACAATACCAACTTCATAAATAAGGAAGAAAATCTTGGGGAAGATTTCGGAGACACACAATATATATTCTTTACATATTACACGACCATTTTGACTCGTTCAAATTTAATTAAATAAACTGATTTTATTTTTTGGTTCTTAACTTCGTAGTTTTTTTTTTATCAGTATTACTGTCAATCTATTAAATGTAAAAAAAACCCATAATTGCAAGCTGTACATACCCTTACCAGTGGCGGATCCATCGCCAGGATTTGTTCTAGAGGGAGGCAAAGCACATTATTCGATTTCCTCGATTTATCATTTTTCGAGGGTGGGCAGGGACATTACCCCCCCCCCCAGCCCATTAAATTAACAGCAATATGACTTCGCGCCTCTTTTTTTCTCCCCCCCCCTTTTTTTTTCCGGGGGGGCAAGTGCACCTCCTTGCTCCCCCCTCGCGACGCCCATGGGCGGATCATGAGGGTTGCAACACCCTTCCCCCTTCAGCCGCTGACTAATGTTATGTTTAGTAAAATTGGGTCAAATATAATAAATGGAATGCTAAAGTTCCAAAATGTATTCTCAAATTCCCTTAGAATACAGGAGAAGCATCTTAGATTTCAAATTTTCCGGGGACACTCCCCGGACCCTCCCCTATAGCAGGGCGTGCCTTCACTCAACCCCCTTCATATCAACACCCCCGTCCCCGTTTCCTGAAAGCTAGATCCGCCCCTACTTACCTCTTAGCTTGACTTCTTGGTTTTCTTTGAACAGTTGTATTTACTTATTACATTTCTTTACCCAAAACTTTAAAACTGGTTTCCATTGGGGCCCTGCATACACTACAGATGAATACACAGAATACAAATGCAATACATTACAAATACAATACAGCACAATGAAATGAAATAAAAGCATATGGGATTACTGCATGATTGTAAAGCAACTAGTATAAATATTGTACAACTGTTACAAAGAAACATGTACAGTTTGAAACGACATCGCGAACAGACTTTCCTAAAGGCCTAAAGTGAAATAAGTAAACACGACGAATTTGGATATTTCTTGTGACATCGGGGAAATATCAGTTTGTGTGTATTCTGAATGTACTATACGACACTGGCGTAGTCAGTATTCTTATTCATGAGAACGGGGCTGTCACTCCAGTTGAATCCAATATTGGTAGAGGGAGGTTGACATCACTTGTCTACTTGTTATGCTCATCAGCATGAAAGAAAATCGAAAAGTATTAAACATGCATCAATGCATCCCTCACGTCAAATGTAGGTTTTTTTAGACGAGTTCTTTCTTTATCGTTAATTTTATCCCCTGTGTTTCGTAATTCACTACCTTATGGAGACGTGTATAATAGGGAACAAAAGATTGTTTACGTCTCCACAAGGTTATCACGAAATAGATATATGGATTTTACTCAAAAACTAGGAATTCCCCAAGGTGTGTTGATCTGTCGCAAATTGAAGTATTTTATGTAATGGATATTAAGTCCGAATTTCAGCTCGGGAAATTAATTTTGGTTAAAATAGGAGCATTTTGAAATTAGATTTTCAAACTCTAAAATGTTTGTACACGAGAACAAAGAAATGACTACACAAGGATACACATTCCAGTATGGGTGTCTGCACATGTTTATTGTTTGAGTCATGGACACACATGAGGACACGCAGGCCTACCCAAGTAAGGACAGTCCTCGTTTGGAAAACGTACAAACTCAATGACAGCTGCTGCACAAAAGTTTTTAGTACATGTACCAACAAATGAAGAACATGATGTCCTCGATTTACATCATACACAGCATGTGTGGGTTGGTGGGTTTGTTTTGCATTCAATAGGGGACGTTGAACAATAGAGGACAATTATCATGGTCCAAAATTCCTGAAGGTCCACAATTGACGATCGTGTACAAAACATATGGGAGGGCTTCCTAAAAAGTTATAGTACAAACAAAAGCGGGACAATTGGGGGGTCCACAATTAAAGGTGTTTGCACACTGTGCGTCGGAGAGTTGAACACTTTTCCCGTTGTTATATCACTTTATTAAGATATGAATTTGTACTCCCTAACTAAAATGCACCTCACTTTGATAAAAATAATATCAGAGGTTTAATTCCTGCACAGAGAGAGCAAATAAAGAGAAATGGGAAATCAGATAGGAGACGACAATGGCAGGGGATTTGTAGTAATCCTGCAGGTCTTCAAGGATGTTTATATTGAATTTTCTGCAAGGCTTTCTTCCTAAGAAGAAAGAGCATATTGTATGGAACGTCGAGTGAAAGACTCTTCTTCGTTATGCAAATACCGCACTCATTCTGCATTTTAAAAAATGTGTGTCATCAAATTCAAATGGCACTCAACACTCAAGTTCAAAAAGGCACTTAAGAAAATTAAATTATTACTCTAGGCCTTTTTCGGAAAATGGTGAAAACGCTGAGAATTCGCGATGATTACTTCATTGAGTTGACAATTATTGCTAAGTTAATCGACCCGTAATTTAATTTGGTTGTGATTTGATTTGGACCGCGTATACTGCACAGTAATTGGTTTTACGAACAGCAAGCCCTGCCAATAAAATTCAATAAGAGAAATTATGACAAAATACTGGGTACCGCTCGATGGTCCAAAGGTTCGATGGTCCGAAGGTTCATTGGTCCGAAGGTTCAATATCCCGAAGGTTTGAAATCCGAAGGTTCGTTAGTCCGAAGGTTCGGTAATCCGAAGTGTTCATTGGTCCGAAAAAAAGAGTAAAGTTAAATAATCCGAAGGTTCGATAGTCCGAACAGACGATCAAGGTTCAACAGTCCGAATTGACAGCATTTAATATGTCAATTCGGACTTTCAAACCTTGTGCGCTTTCGGACTATTGAACCTTTGGATAAATTAACCTGTTTCTAAATTCGGACTACCAAACCTCCGGATAAATGAACCTTCGGATTATCGAACCCTCGTACTAACGAACCTTCGGTCTGTCGCATCAATTCATTTTCAGACTAATGAACCCCGGGTATGGGAAATTTTGTGTGTTCAGACTATCGAACCTTCGGAACAATAAGCCTCCGGACTATTGAATCTTCGGATTATCGAGCAGATCCCCAAAAACTTATATAATTTTGCACATTGCATCTGCAAATCATTGTTATGTTAGTTGATTTAGAAATGTTGATTTGGCGCGGTGTCCCTTGCATCTCCATCTACCTTTGTTAGTATCCATTATCCATGGACTATAAACAACACACTATGCTACACAGTCAAGGAAGAATTATGCGTAATGTGTAATCTTTCGTCTGATCTTTTAAAATGTGTATGTAAGCCGCTTTGGCAACATGGACCACAGTGCCAATCAAGTGATTTAATTTGAAAAAAAGAACCCCGAATTCTATATCAAGAGGGCTCCGAACCAAAACCACTTACAAAGTGGCTTGTAATATCTTCCCGTGCTATTTATGCGTTTCACCCGAATATAAATAATACATTTTATTTTTAAATTGCAATTTTTCTAGTGTTAAAAGCAAAAGTTATTCACTTTTTAATGGGACGCCAAGCAAGAAAAAATACATAAAACAAATATGCCTACATTTAGTTAGGCCTATATGGAATAATTACTTTCCACATTTCGTATTATTTGCGGCCCGAACAATAACTCAGTCCTTTTGTGCGTTATGGGCGCAAACAACATGATAATAGCAAGCCCAGGGATGGGAACTTGCTTGCTGTATTCTGATTCGAGAGGGCAGTTAACAGGTAATGGATTTATATCATGTACTTGGTGTTGTTTTTTCCAACGTGTATTACGTGTTTTCAAGTTTATTGTAGTAAATTACGTCCGCACCTTCTCAAAAATAATCCTTTCCTTTCCATTTTGCTCATATTGATATGAAATGTGATACTGCATATTGGCTGGATAAGATTGAAACATTTTAACTTTGACAAAAACAACGTGTTTTCGTAACTCACGCCGCGACGAATTGATTCTGTTTTTACCCCAGACATCACATACAAAAACAAACGCTGATGTAAAGCACAGACAGGCACCAGACTATTCCTAATTTGCATACGTATCAAAAAATGTTCGATATGCAAATGATGCAATACAAGGGTGGGAGAACCAGTACTGGTGGGAGCGTGCTACTCGGCACCCTGGGAATGAGGTTGGCAAAGCCCTGCCCTCGTACTAGCGCATTATTGATCTAAGAGGCGAAACACCTACCATTCAAATTAAAATGCTGGGCATTACACCAGAGGCATCCAATTTGGCAAGTGCGAGCTTCGATTTTAACGAATTCAACATTTTCAGGGCTGACCGCCCAGCAGGCATTTCAAGTCGTTACTTTAAGGTACTGCTCTATGGTCTCATTGCGGGCTGTTGGCGAGAGTTTTCACTTGGATAGATCAAGTATATCGAGGTGCTCTACTAGTTCATTGATGCAAGACGCTGCACGAAAGTGCATTCTGCTTTTGCTCCCTCTTCAGGCCGTTGCGAAACACTGCTCCTGAGTACGATAGCAATC